CCAGGTGGGTCTCGAACCCGCGGGCTCAGGCAATTCACTCACCTCGGCCTCCCAAAGCGCAGGATTACAGGCTGAGCCACCGAGCCTGGCCACCTCCTCCCTCTTGCCCCTCTTTCCCCGAGCCTCCACTTAAAGCCCGACCTTTTAGCTATCACCTGTTCTCAGGTGATTTCTCTTTGCAGGTATTAGCAGATGATGTTGGCTTTTTGTTGTGGTTACATAAAAAAAAAAAGATGAAAAAAAGACCCAAGAAGAATAACACCTGCCCAAGATCATCCCCCCACGCCCCAGTCTGAGTGCATTTCCTTCACCTTCCTTCCCCCGCAGGGCCCTGCCCTCGCCCCTGCCCGTGACACCTGGACACTGGCTTTCCCTCGTCTCCATCTCCTTGCCCTTCTCGCCCTCCTAGTGATGTTCAGGAGAGCCGTGGGCATCCTGGGTACTCCTTCCCTGACACACACACCTCAGGGTGGGCCACAGGATGGGGGCCATATAGACATTCTGGAAGGTTCTCCACTTGCCCAGCACCGAGCAGCCAAGGAGAGGCAGAGCTGGATGGGGACCCCGACTCTTGGCTCCCAGCTCAGTGCTCTTCCGTGCTCCCCACACAGGTGGCCCCAGGGTAGAGGCTGGACTCTGCAGGGGTCACCCTGGGTGACTGGGGACCGGAGGGTGGCAATTCACTGACGGCCACGCTCTCTTGCTCTGCCCAAAGGCTGTGGACAGCCAGTCGACCGTCAAGCTCCCCACCTCTGTACGCAACATCATGGACCGCTGGATCCTGCAGATGGGCTTCCCAGTCATCACCGTGGATACCAAGACGGGGACCATCTCCCAGCAGCACTTCCTCCTTGACCCTGACTCCAATGTCACCCGCCCCTCAGAGTTCAAGTGAGCAGATGATTGTGGAGGGCCGGGCAGGGTGGTCGGTTGCTGTGGAGCCTCTGACCATCGCAGGACTGGCCTCCTGGGGTTCCTCCAGAGCCAGGGTATGGGGGCGCTTGGTACCAGGGTTGGGCAGAAGTTGGAAGCCTGGGTGAGGCTGCCGCTCCCTGGCGGTGACCAAGAGCCGCTGGCTCTCAGCACCTGGCCTCTGGGTCTCTTGGCACAGCTACCTGTGGATCGTGCCGATCTCGTCCATCCGTAATGGGAGAGAGCAGAACGACTACTGGCTGGAAGGCGTCGAGCAAGGTAGCCCAGCCCTGCCTCTACCCACCTCCCAGCTCCCAGCCCATGTTCTGGGGTTGTGGACCTCAGCCAGGGTTTCCTTCGTTATTTCATTGAACAAATGCAGCCGACTTCTTTGATTCCAATCTCCACCGTACTGCTGCTCTGCTGCATGACCCTGGACAGGTTATCATCCCTCTCTGGTCTCCATTTCCTCATCTATAAAATGAGGCTCAGAACAATATCTACTCCACTGGGTTGTGTGAGAATTAAAGGAGAGAATCCACATAAGATGCTTAAACAGGGCCAGGCACGATGACTCATGCCTGTAATTCCAGCACTTTGGGAGGCTGAGGCAAGAGGATTGCCTGAGCTCAGGGGTTCGAGACCAGCCTGGGCAACTTGGTGAGACCTCGTCTCTACAATAAATCAAAAAATAAGCTGGGCGAGGTAGCGCACACCTGTAGTGCCAGCTACTTGGAAGGCTGAGGTGGGAGAATTGCCTGAGCTCAACAGGTCGAGGTAGCAGGGGCCATGAGCGTGCCACTGTACTCTAGCCTGGGCGACAGAGTGAGACTCCAACTCAAAAAAAAAACCAAACAACAAAAACGGTACTTAGGCAGCCCTAGTCAGCTAGGCACTGAGGGAACAGAGGTCAAGGCAAGTTGTCCTCTGCCTTGGCCAAGGCTATGGATGGAGGAAAACAAGCAGTTAGAGGCATTGCAGTGCTGTGCTGAGTGCTTTAGCAGTGTATATATGGTCATGGCTGCTGGGCATAAGGGCAGGGAGATGAGAGAATTCAGTCTCGTGGAGAGGTCAGGGAAGGCTCCCTGGAGGAGGTAAGTTGAACCTTAGAGGAAGAGTAGGAGTTAGGCAGGCTAATGTGGCAGGAAAAAAGTGTTCCAGGCAGAGGAAATAGCAAGTGCCAGGGCATAGAAGTAGGAGAGGGCGTGGGGACTGAGTGTGTGAGTGTGGCTAGGGCTAGGGTGTGCCCACAAGATGAAGCTGGGCCCCGGTGTCCCACGGGCTGCAGGAGACTGGGCATGGGCCGGCAGTTGGCTCTGATCTGTGGTGAATTGGCTATGACCTCTAGCTGCTGGAAGAAAGCATGAGAGGGGCAAGAGTGGGGGGTGCTATGCCCCTGGAAGAAACAGCAGCGTTGAGAGGCTGAGCAGATGGGTGCAGTGAGGAGCGAGGCAAGGGAGAGGAGCCGCCTGGGTTGCTGGCTGTGAGGGGCCTAGAGGTGGCACTGGAACCACCCAGCTAGCCGTCAGTAGCCTGGCCACACACAGCCTGGGAGGCGGGGCAGACTCCGAGGTTCAGACAGGGCCCCAGTCCTTCGCCCCTTCCTTCACCCTCTTGGTGGAGAGGGGGCAGAAGCTCGAGGGTCAGCTGGTGCTGGGCTGTGAGGCAGCGGCAGAAGATGTGCTTGGGTCTCCTGTGGCCTCGAGTGTCCCCAGCTCTCTGGTTTCTCCACAGCCCAGAACGCCCTGTTCAGTACGACAGCCGACGACTGGGTCCTGCTGAACCTCAATGTGACGGGCTATTTCCAGGTGAACTATGACCTGGACAACTGGAGGAAGATTCAGAATCAGCTGCAGGTGAACCCGTCGGTGAGTGTCGCCACCTCCCACCCCATCCCCTGCCCCAGGCCAGATGCCCACTGCCAGCTCGTGGTCACACTCCGCTTTCCGCTCTAGGTCATCCCTGTCATCAATCGGGCACAGATCATCAACGATGCTTTCAACCTGGCCAGGTGAGTGCCCACCTCCACAACTTCAGCAAGTCCAGTGGGAGTGTGTCCTCCCTCCTGCTGCCGCTCCTGCGTGCCAGGCGCCGTGCGGTGGGCTCCTCGTGCTCCCTTACATCCCGCCCCTGGTCCCCACAGCCCCATTTCACAGATGAGAAATCTGACACCTGGCCAGAGGTCACAGAGTAGCCCACAACAGCCAGATGGAAGCCTGTCCGACCCCAGAGCCATGCTCTGCCCCTCGGCATCGAGCTTTCCCTGGGGGCCTGCTTGCTGTGTGCCAGGCCACCAGGCTAGATGCTAAAAAATATCTGGAGTGGCCAGGCACGGTGGCTCACACCTGTAATCCCAATACTTTGGGAGGCCAAATCAGAAGAATTGCTTGAGCCTAGGAGTTCGAGACCAGCCTATGCAACATAACAGGACTTCATCTCTTCAAAAAATTAGCTGGGCATGGTGGTGTGCACCTGAAGTCCTGGCTATTTGAGAGGCTGAGGTGGAAGGATTACCTGAGTCCAAGAAGTTATGATTGTGCCACTGCACTCCAGCTCAGGCGACAGAGACCCTCAACTCAAAACAAACAAAAAACTCTGGGGTGGACAGGACAGGAGGGATGCGGCATAGATAAACACTTATTGAGCACCTACTGTGTTTGGGTGAGGTACTGAGCTCTTTGACATGAGCAATGTCACCCAAAGATACAGAAGGCCTGAGGAGGAGGAGGAGGGAGGAAGACCTCAGGAGCCCACCACACCAGAAGAGGCGGGTAGAGTTAAGAGCATGGGCTTTTTGCCTTTTTTTTTGAGTTGGAGTCTCACTCTGTTGCCCAGACTGGAGTGCGCAGCCTCGACCTGCTGGGCTCCGGCGATCCTTCCACCTCAGCCCTCCAAGTCGCTGGAACTACAGGCATGCGCTACCACACCCGGCTAATATTTTGATTTATTGTAGAGATGAGGTCTCGCCAAGTTGCCCAGGCGGGTCTCAAACCCGCGGGCTCAGGCAATCCACTCACCTCAGCCTCCCAAGGCGCGGGATTACAGGCTGAGCCACCAAGCCTAGCTGCGCTTTGCCTTTTTGAATCTCAGTTCTGTCTCTTGTGAGCTACAGGGCCGTGGGCAAGTCAGTTAATGTCTCCTGAACCTCAGTTTCCTCATCTGTAAAAATGGGGATACTAAGCAAGGGAATGGAACTGGCAGTGGGTGAGGGTAGGGCCTTATGTGTGGCACCACCCAGCAGCCATGCTGTCCCTTCCTCATGGCAAACGCTAGAGCTGGCTCCGTTGGGACTCTGGGAGCTCAGACTCCAGGAGGGGACACAGGGAGTCCAGGATTGAGGAGACTCCTTGAGGGCTTGGGCTCCCGGGTTGTGGCTGGGCTGGGTGGAGGTGCTTACTTGGGCCCCTCTGTTTGTCCCCAGCGCCTACAAGGTCCCTGTCACTCTGGCACTGAGCAACACCCTCTTCCTGGAGCAAGAGACAGAGTACATGCCCTGGGAGGCTGCCCTGAGCAGCCTGAACTACTTCAAGCTCATGTTCGACCGCTCCGAGGTCTATGGCCCCATGAAGGTAGGGCATTGCATGGCAGGGACAAGGACCCAATTTACCCCGGTTCCTAACAGGGCACCACTAGGAAGCTCATGGAAGTGTTATCTGTTCGATTCCCGGTCAGGAAATTTTCAAAAGAAAAAAAAGGAGCCAGGCATGATGGCTTAGCCTGTAATCCCAGCACTTTGGGAGGTGGAGGTAAGAGGATTGCCTGAGCCCACAGGTTCGAGATCAGCCTGGGCAACTTGGCGAGACCTTGACTCTACAATAAATAAAAAAATTAGTCAGATGTGGTGGTGCACACCTGTAGTTCCAGCTACTTGGAAGGCTGAGGAGAAAGGATTGCCTGAACCCAGCAGGTCAATGCTGTGGTGTTCACGAGTGTGCCACTGCACTCCAGCCTGGGTGACAGAGTGAGACTCCAACTCAAAAAAAAAAATAAAAGGGAAATATTTCCTGGTCAGATCTTTTCCTGAGAGCCAGCTGGGCCAGGGAGAAAGAGGTTTAGAGAGGGGAAGGGATCAGGAGAAGGTGAGGAGGTCAGGTGGGGCAGAAAAGGGTCATGAGACTTACAGCAAAGTTTGCTGATTTGAAATGTGGGAGATTAACGCTTTCAGGAGGCAAGGAAGAGACCACTGTGCTGAGGGGCAGAAGGCCTCTTACCAGCTGTGTGGCCTCAGGCAGCCCCTCAGCACCAGTGATCTCCCGAAGGCTCCTGCCGGCCCAGCCAGCCCTCCTGGGCTGAGAGGGAGATGCTGGTGTTCACAGCTTTGAAGTGGCCCTTTTAGGGGCCAAGGCTCTCACTCGGGAGACCAAAAGGAGACTCAAGCTTGTTCTGGATGAAGCCGCATCCATAGAGTGATCACTGCAGCGCTGTTATAAAAGACTAAAAATATCTGGGTCCAGTGACACGCGCCTGTAGTCCCAGTTACTCAGGAGACTGAAGCCAGAAGACCGCCTGAGCCTAGGAGTTTGAGGCTACAGCGAGCTGTGATCATGCCACTGTACTCCAGTCTGGGCAGCAGAGTGAAACTCTGACTCAAAAAAATTTAAAAAAAAAAAAAAAAAGACAAAGACAACATCAAAATACAAAAATAAAATTTTATTTTAAAAAATTAAATAATCAGGGTCTGGGCACAGTGGCTCATGCACTGTGGCTCATGCCTGTAATCCCAGCACTTTGGGAGGTGGAGGTGAGAGGACTGCCTGAGCCCAGGGGTTCGAGACCAGCCTGGACAACTTGGCAAGATCTCGTCTTTGCAATAAATCAACAAAGTTAGCCAGGTGTGGTGTTACATGTCTATAGTTCCAGCTACTTGGAAGGCTGAGGTGGAAGGATCACGTGAGTCCAGCAGGTCGAGGCTGCAGTGGCTGTGAGTGTGCCACTACACTCCAGCCTGAATAACAGAGTGAGACCTTGTCTTCAAAAAAAAGGAGTCCGCTCGGAGCCTTTCTTATTTCCAGTTATTCGAATGTGACGTTTCCCTTTCTTCTGGAAGCTTTTGGGCTCTTCCTCAGTCCCGGTGCATCTTGAGTTGGGCCTTTTTTCCGTCTTTCTACCTTTTCCAAACTGGACTAGACAGTCCTGTCCCTTAGTGCTAGGACATTTCTGCATTGCTTCGTGCAGGCTTCTCCTCCTCTTTTCCTTCTAGATACCACTTTCTGGGACCCCCAGGAATCGGCTCCTTCTCTTACCTGGGTCTAGTTTTCTCATCTTTTCTACTTTCCATCGTATTGACTTCTTGTTCTGCCCTCTGGGAAGGTCCCTCAGCTTTGCATGTCACCTTGCCTAAAGTTGTTTTCATGTCTCCTGTCATATTTTTGAATTTCTGAGTGTGTCTCTGGCTCCAGCAGCCTCTGTGATGCCTTCTCTTCCCTCTGGGAGGATATTTATTCCAGGCTTTGACGAGGTTTTCTTTTCTTCCCCTTGACTTGTTTCCTCTGAGTTCGTGTTTGTTTTGGTCTCCTTTCAAGCTGGAAGCTGAGCTGCTCCTTTGGATTTGAGAGTGAGACAAACAAAGAGTGATTGGAAGCCTGTGGGGAGTGGAGTATGTTGCCTGAAAGGGGGTGTCTCATTGTGGGGTGACTAGGCGGTCAAGTAATTCTTCATTGGGGATCCTCAAAAGTTAGCATCCATGGGTACGTCCTCTCGAGATCATTCAGTGTTTCCAGAAAGCAAGCCTCTGTCTTATGCAAGAACGCTGGCAGCACTTGCTTTCTGGAATCAGAGTGGGAAGGACACTGGCCACCACCCTTCAGTGTGGAAACTTCCACCTCTGACCCTCTTAGCCATCCAGCAACCCTCCCGCTGTGTCCAGTGGCCCCATATCCTGAGTTCATTGGGTTCAGTGTCTCCCACGGGGGAGCTGAGGGCTGTTGCCTGCTGCAAGGAGAGAAGTGGGGACTTGGGGGTTTCATTGCTCCTTGAGGCCAGGTGCGGTGGCTCACCTCTGAAATCCCAGCACTCTGGGAAGCCGAGACGGGAGGATTGCTTGAGGCCAGGAGTTCAAGACCAGCCTGGGCAACATAGCAAGACCTCATCTCTACAAAAAAAATTAAAACTAAAAACTAAAAAATTAACTGGGCATGGTGGCAAGTGCCTGTAGTCCCAGCTACTTGGGAGGCAGGAGGATTACAGTGAGCTATGATTGTGCCACTGCACTCCAGCTGGTGCAACAGAAGGGCTTTTCTCTGCCCCCTTGCATGTGCTTTTCTGTATTTTGTAAATTCCCCCAATAAGCTTGAAATACTTACAGTCATGAGGGACAAACCCAATGCTTTGTATTCAGAAGTGGGGACTCTTAGCCAGGTGTGGTGGCTCACGCCTGTAATCCCAGCACTTTGGGAGGCTGAGGTGAGAGGATTGCCTGAGCCCACGGGTTCGAGGCCAGCTTGGTGAGACCTCGTCTCTACAATAAATCAAGAAAAATTAGCCAGGTATGGCTAATTACAGGCGCACACCTGTAGTTCCAGCTACTTGGAAGACTGAGGTGGAAGGATCACCTGAGTCCAGCAGGTCGAGGCTGCGGTGGCCATGAGTGTGCCACTGCACTCCAGCCTGGGTGACGGAGTGAAACTCCAACTAAAAAAAAAAAAGAAAAAAAAAAAAGAAGTGGGGACTCTTTTGGACAAAGAATATTAGAGCTGACTAAGACTTTGAGGAGAAAGAGCCTCAGCTCAGTCATCTGAGCCCTGGGCTTATGTAGCGTCTTTGAGTGCTGTCTGGCCTCTGGCCTTGGGTAAGGCCTTGTTCCCCTCCCGCCCCCCCAACCATCAGAGGCTCCACGGGGCTCTGGGCAGATGAGGCATGAGCCTTTGAAACTCATCTGTTTTATTTCCTCAGAACTACCTGAAGAAGCAGGTCACACCCCTCTTCTTACACTTCCAAAATATCACCAATGACTGGCAGACGATCCCACAAAACTTGATGGACCAGTGAGTGTGACCCTCATGGGTGTGGAGGTCCCCATAGCTGGGTGGAGTCAAGAGCAACACCTGGCAGTGTTCTCTGGAGCTCTCAGCGCTGGCCAGGAAGAAGGGAGAGACCCCCACCCAGGAGCAGGGGGTCCTGCCCTGAGGCTCTGTGTGGCCTGGGGACCCATCTGGCTTTTTCTGCAAGGGCCCAAACTGCAGCCACCTCACCGGCTTAAGGTCACATGGCTTCCAGGTGTTGACACTGGACTGGAGTCTGTGCCAGCCCCTCTGGATCCCCAGGCTGCTCTGGGGACCAAGGAAACTCAGGCCCAAGGCACAGGACAAATAGGGGGAGCCCCAGAGGCCAGGTGGATCACAGAGACAGGCAGAGCCCCAGCCTGGAGTGGTGTGTCAGGAGGTGAGTCTTGGCCGGAGTCTGGGCCAGGCGTCCTAACTGCACGTCTCCTGTGGCAGGTACAGCGAGATTAATGCCGTCAGCACCGCCTGCTCCAACGGGGTTCCCGAGTGTCTGGAGATGGCCTCCAGATTTTTCAAGCACTGGATGGAGAACCCCAATAATAACATGTGAGTGTCTTCCCTGCTCCCCTCTGCCTGTCTTCACCTGGCCCCCAACGGTCCTCAGCAGACCCTCGTCCCACCCTGCCTGCTGCTGCTCCGCCCCTGATGTCCCTCTCCTGTGCCAGGATCCACCCCAACCTGCGCTCTGCCATCTACTGCAACGCCATCTCCCAGGGCGGCGAGGCCGAGTGGAACTTCGCCTGGGAGCAGTTCCGCCATGCCACGCTGGTGAATGAGGCTGACAAACTCCGAGCGGCCCTGGCCTGCAGCAACCAGGTGTGGATCCTGAACAGGTGAGGACCAGGGCAGGGCGGGACTGGGTGAGACTCCTCCCCACTGCGACATCCACCCACCTGCCGAGGTGGGGCAGGGTTTTCCCCACTTCATAGATGAGGACACGGAGGCTCAGAGAAGCACAGCAACTTGCCCAAGGACCTGATGCCTTTTTTTTTTTTTTTT